AAGATCATGATTTCCCGTGGACGAGTCCCTTAACTTGATGCAAAGCCACTGCAGTAGACGCGACGACTCGTCCACTGACCTGTCTGCGTCGCTACCCATCGCCGCGACGGGCCTTCTGTCGGGTATCCGCGTCACATGGATTATGCTTCAGGCATCGTAATCTCCCATGTGATATTCCCACACGGAACGTTTTTGCGTTGTAGGACCCTTTTCTATTCCAGGATTTCCTGAAGCTTCGATTAAAAACAAATATTTTGTCGTTCCAACTCTGAGTGCACGTGGCATAGCATCTGAACTTGCATAATCTATGAATTTGGCCCCTTTTCAACTTCTACTCCACCACACACTCGTACAAGGGGTGGTCAGACTAAAAATCCTTATAGCTAGGCCCAGAACCAATCTTAGAGCCAATAGTTTTACATTCAGAGCTGCTAGCTTATATATAAAGATAACGAAAATTTTTGCTATTCCTCAATACATTGAAAAATTTCAAAAGACAGATTTCTACTAAACTTCTAAGTTACAGAATATCCTAGTTATTTGAGATTCACCTGAAATCCCATCTCCATAATTGTATTGACTCATCATTTTTCTCACTGTGTGTTGTATTTTTTCTAACGTTTGCCTTCAAGCGGCGTAATAAATAAATAAATTAAAACAAATATCTATCTTGGAGTGAAAAAAATCATTCGATTATAAATGTCTCAATGCGATCAAGGCCCAAAAGTGCGTTTGTTCTGTATCTTTTAGAATATGCTTCGAATTGCGCTTTTTCAGGTATCTTCTCTGCCCAGCATGTCGTGCACAGTACCTAAGGAAAACACCAGCAGGGCATCGACAAGTAAGCCATTGTGACACTTCACTGCCTTCTTAAAGGCCTTTCTTGTTGTGGAATTGTGCTGATAAATGATGACCATAGGAACGAACCCGTCGATGGCGTGAATTTCGCCTGTCTACGAACGCTTTTGACTCTCGTCCAGAAATCATCATGCGGCAGAATGCAATGTTCCTGTTGGATTTAAACTCATCGCTGGATTGTGACTCAAAGGTCATTTGTTTTTTCCATTGTTCTTACAATTAGTTCTTGACTTTTCACAGTTTTCTTGTTTTTTCTTTTCCATATTTATTATATTTGTTATTGGTTCAGTTTTTGAATCTGCTTCAAGAAACCAACATTACGGTGCCGATAGACGACCAAGCTTGGGGAAGTCGCGGCCGCGCGTGTAACATTATATTTCAAGGGAAATGGCGCCATTGGACTTTTCAGTTATTTGGCTTACTATTGCTGTTCCATCTGGGTTATTTTGTCTCCATCAAGCATTTTTCTTCTTACTGGTGTAATTTCAACTCTCACATGTATATGATAGGATACTAGTTTATCACTTGTAGGCGTCTTCAGCAGCGACTTCTGGATGGACAATAAATCTATTCCCAACACAAACTCCCAGTCCGTCAGCGATGGGCCGCAGTGGTCCCATCGGAAAGAAAGTAGTAAGTTTTTTGATCGGCTTTTCTTAAGTAAGGTCCCTCGACTGAGTCCTCCACAAATTCCAGATCGACTCGGCCCTTTTCGCACGCTCATCATTTCTGTCGCAGTCACTTTGTAGGACTGGCCACGCTTCGGATCCCGGACCAAAGGCATTACCGACATCTCCACCCGCTGTACCTACCCAGTCAATGGCTGTGGATGGAACTCGGAGTGATGAGGGTGACACGAGAGAGGTTGGTTCGTTGACGTGTTATCGGATTTTCGGATATACAGGGTGGGGCAAAATTACTGGTGCACTAAATTTTCAATGGCATTTTGACAATAATTCTCACAAATCAATTCTAATTATCAATATTATTTACTACAAACATGACAATACAAAAAATGTTAATGCTTCTCAAAATGATCTCCTTTAGCCTTCACACAGTCCTTCAGACGTTCGACAAATGCTTCGCATGTGGCACGCAGGTACTGGTCATCGATTTCGTCCCAAGATTTTGAAAGCGCCGCCTTAAGAGAGTCCAAGTTTGGATGTCTGGTAGAACACGCTTTGCTCTCCAAGATGGACCACACAGAGTAATCCATCGGGTTTAGATCAGGAGAACTGGAGGGCCATTCGTCGTGTCTGATGAAGTCGGGCAGGTCGGGTCTGATGAAGTCGGGCAGGTGCTCGGCGCACCACTCCTGGACCATCTTTGCTTTGTGTGCTGGAGCAGAATCCTGCTGGAAGCACCAGTAGGCTTCTCCGAAATGGGAGTTGGCCCACGGCTTGAGAACTTCCTCCAGGATATTTTTGTAAACCTCTGCGTTGATTTTTACACCAGCTTCAACGAAAACAAGTGGGGTCTTCCCCGTAGAGGTGACTCCTCCCCAAACAAGAATGGACTGGGGGTGTTTCGCTCTTTCCTGGAGTCTTGCCTTGGTGGTAGCATCAGCAAGTGATCCTGCAATAATCCTCTCATTTTGGGAGTTGAAGGCTGGATTCAGAGTAAAAATCTTTTCATCACTGAAAACGATGTCTCGGGCGCGTGCCACCGTGAATCGCTGCAGCAACTTCTTGCATCTCTCCAATCTCCTTTTCTTCATAATGTCCGTCAGGAGTTGGCATTTCTGCAAGCGATAGGGGAACTTCCTTAGCTTACTTCTGACAATCCTCCTCATTGACCTCGCGCTTACTCCAACGTCTTTCGCCATCTGGCGCATCGATCTCCTGGCGTTCCTTCGAATTCTTTCTCTGACGAGCCTCACATTTCTCCGACTCGTAGCTGTTGTGGGACGTCCTCTTCCTTCCCTGTCCTCTTCGGTCTTCAGTTCTTTATAGCGTCGTACTGTATTCTGAACCGTCCTTCGAGGTACGGAAAGGATCTTCACAATTTCTCTTGTTTGCTTGCCGTCGTTGTGAAGTTTGATGATCGCGCTCCGTAGGTCAGAACGACGGACCATTTTGTATTCGAGTACGTAGGAATTACGCAACCTCCAGGCAACATATCACAAGCGAGTGAAACAGGAAAATCTCCAAGAAGTGTTAAAAAATTCAAAACGTATAGGTGCACCAGTAATTTTGCCCCACCCTGTATTATATACGCACTGAGCAATTGTGAAGTAATTGCGTGTGTTTGTTCTGCGTATCTTATCTTATCTTTTTTTTATTTTGTTACCTCTTCGTCAAATTCCAATAATGTTAGTGTTAAAAGAGTAACTCTTTCGTGGTTCTGGAAGGTATGCAATAGGCCTTGATGATCCCTGATGAATTGATTACTTACATATTTTTGGGTTCAAGCTGAATCCTTTTCCCAGATACTTCTAATCAATTTCTTTCTATTTCCAGGTTTTACAATCCCCATCGGCCGCATTGAGAACGCTGATCTCTCATCACTCCCCGAGTACCGCTGAAATGCTAAAAAGGCCTGTGTTGGCGTTCGTTGTTGAGCATCACGATCTTAAAAGGTAATTTTCAGTTACCTTAGGCCAATGGTTCAAGTCCTTCATATAGTGTTGCAATTGGGAATGCGGTCGCATTGCGGTCGGTGCTGATTACGCGTGCGGGAGGGAAAAGCTCATCGGCGACGCAGACGCGAGCGCGCCACGGCCGTGGCAAGTGCGATCATAAAACTTGACCGATACCATCACTGCCACTTCGCTTGAATAGTACAATAGAAAGGTTGCCGACATTGCATCAAGCAGTTAAGTAGCGCCGCGAGGGAAGAGATTATATCGCGTATAGGTACAATTCTTCCGCCAAAAATAAGAATTTTTTTGGGTTTGGTGGAAATCAACGCTCTGATGAGTAGACC